CACCATCAGCATTAACAAAATCACCATCAGTCAATTACAAAAGGCAGCTTTACTTGGAACATCTTATATACTGCAAGACACCTTTAAAACTATCAAACAACGACATCTGCCTATCCTAGGTCCTTGGGAAGGACTTGATAGGTGGATAAAAATGCCAAATCCAGTCTAAACATCTGCCTGACTTATGCGACCAACAACAACAATAAGGTAAAAGATATAAAACAGAAAGTATATATCTAAAAGGAATCTGAAAGGGGGGGGTGGAACATTAGATGGGTGTAGGGGGGCTGAAAAGTTAGTATGTGGGAGATTATATCAAATTACAGAGCATTCTAGCATGAAAAACTAGATGCTCATTAAGACTAGTTTAAGGCACATGTGACAAATTTTAATTACTGCTGCACAGAACCTGGCAACATTATATGTTGTAACAGGGTTGGTATCTGAAAGCAGCAGGGAGGTATAGAATTGTCCTATGCACGCTGAGTATTTATGCAGTAATGGTGAGATGAGGCTAGTATGAATGTGTCTGTAATACAGGCACTGCAGAAGCACATGCTTTCTTGTTTCTGTGTGTCCAGAGTCACAGGGGCATTGTCTTTCCAGGTAAGGGATCTTCTTGAAAAGGAAGGATACACAGAGGACAGCATGAGATAATCCTCAAACTGACCAGTAAAAGAGTGAAAAAACATTCAATTAATGTATCTTTTGAATTTCACAAGATTTTAAAAAATGCTGACACCCACTCCACACAGAATGGAAATTAAATACATTTTCCCCCAGTCCATTATCCATGCCTTTAGTACAAATTGTTTGCATCTGTCTGGTCATTTGGGGAAAAAAACTAGGCAGTTCCTCTTAGGGGAAATTCCTGGTTCTAAAGATGCCATTCATCTGTTGCATTTAGAAATCTTTTATAACTCCTGAAGGTGAAATGATAGTTTATCAGCATTTTTACAATTTCCTTGATAACTTTAACCATGATTGTATCTTACTATGTTGGCTGGAGTGGGAAAAATACATTCTAAACAATCCCTACAGACAAACAGCAGGAATATGATGTGAACTTTATAGGAATGAAGGAGAGTAGCAATTGCCTTGAGTCCAAGAGATAGGAAGTGGAGTAAGACAAATGAAAAATCCACCTTTTCTTCATATTCAAATAAACCTGTGGAGAGTCAGAAAACAGACTCAGTCCAGCTAAAACTATGAAATTAAACAAGCCTGGAAGTCTCTCTGTAGAGGTATGCCAAATTATTTAAACAGTGAATTAATTCAAATATGATATCTAAACAATTCTATGTAGAACCCAAAAAATAGTATAACAATTGTTTCCTGATAACTAATCTTTGAGCCACCTGGCAATCCGTTCAGTCATCCAGGACACCGGTTCACTGTTGTTTATAACATGTCCAAATAACCCCTTTTGCAGAAGTCTGATGATGTAATGCTCATTACAATTGTCTCAAGAAGAGATCCAACCAATGCTGCATAATAAACTATGGCTAACTGCTCTTTTGCCTGAACAAAATATTGACATATTTTTGCATCCCTCACAATCTATCCTCCATTTTAAACACCAATTTCAACAGCCCAAATGGCAATGTTCAAACAACTCTATAAACATCTGGGTTTGGGATCGAATGGTAATGTACAGTTTATGAAAGGATTTAAAAGATTTGTTTCATTTTTGGGCTTCTGTTCCCAAGGATAACCCAAGGGAAGTATCAAATGACCCCCAGATTATTTTTTGTAGTATAAGTTTCTTTTAGCAAATGAAATAATCCACAATTAGTCCCCCCCTTTCTAGAATCATAATAGTGACTCACCCCTCTTTTCATCTACAATAGCCACTGCTTCAATAAGAAGTGATGAATTGGATTCAGTATACTCCACGAAAACAAGGAGCAATTTCAGTGCTGTCTTTACAACCAGACGAAACTGCAAAGGAAGAGAGAGCTAGTCATAAATCAGGTTGTAAAATTTGCAGGCATGGCTGTCTTCTTTTACTGGAATGCAGGCTGATTCTATGTAGAAATAAATCAGTAGGCAAAAGCAACATCACTATCCCGTAAGTCACGGATTGATCCAAAATATGCTTCATTTTCAAAATTAAATGCCAAAGTAGAGCAAAAAGTAAATCCATAAAACATGTACAAATGGAACTAGTTAGTTTAGCCTAGTCCACAGTTATTTTTAATCATGCTTCTAAACATCTTTAACTACCTATACCATAATTTAGACCTGGGACTGTTAAACCATGTGCTCTATAGCTAATTCTATTTCCACCCTCCCAAAACATATGAAACTTTCTTATCCTGAGTCAGAACCATTAATTTAAGTAATCCATGGCAAGCAATTTGTTTGGGCTCAAGAATCAAACTAACTTTGGGCAATCATATCAGAGACTGTATCCCGAAATGGATGAGTCACATGGTCTTGTGATTCTGAAACACACTCTCTATATAAAGAAACAGAGATCCCAGTACAAAAGATTTCCCAATTCTAGCACTAGCCTCCAGTGTCAGTCCAGTGGAGTGGAGCAAAGCCATGAAGGCACAGGATAATGGAAGATACCACAACTTTAACTACTGAGTCAGTTGCAGGACATGCTGTATTTTGCTTGGCAAAATGTGCTGTTTGTGTTTGAAAAACCAATATTTACCTCATGTCCTCTGGCAAACAAGATAGGAATCATGGTATTTTACCATACACGCTTGATAGCTGTCAATACAGAGGGAGCGAGCCCCAAACAAGATAACTTGTATTTGAGACTATCTAATTTTCTACCCTCCTTGTCCAGGAGTACAGACTGTCATTGCAGTCTAGAGCCTGACTGTATTATATTAAGTGTGAAGCTAATGAACAATTATTCCTCTTTCTAAAGGTGAATATAATCTAGCAGCATTTTATCAGTTCTCAAATAAAACCACAAATTATTATATTATTATTATATTATTATTATATTATGGAAATTAAAAGGGCTACAGAAAGGATCTGCAATGCTCCCTTCACTACAATTTCTAACCATAATAAAAATTGAGCAAAGTCACTTCTAAATAGTCTTTTTTCTTAATAGCAATTATTTATTAGGTTGAATTTTCAGCGTATCACATAGATTATAAAATCTTTTTTTCTCCTTAAAATGGTGAAGAAATCAAAACAATGGCAGATTCCTTTTGTTTCCACTACTGAAATCAACAGTGATGCTGATTTCAGGAAGAAAAAACATACTACCTATAATAACTGGTTGGACAAAAGTACTAGCAAGAGGACTCTCAGAAACAGCTAGGTAGTACCATTCACATCCCATGCAATCAAAAGAAAGGATGATTCACCTTGTTATACATTCATCTTTTCAAAAGACTGTATATTGTTGTCTAGGCATAGAAATCTAATGCAATGTCTCTGTCTAGTAATTTAATGGTGCTATCAATTAATCTCAGCCTCATTGCTATCACCTCTTATTCTGCTTTTGCTGCTTATCTGTCTCAATTCTTTTGATGCTTCTTATGAATGTACTGTACTGCCTGCAGTACACATTCCCTTCACTGGGGCATGGCTCTTTATTGTGTACACTGTCAGTTTAACCCCTCTGCTGGAGACAAAAAAACGTTGGTCATTTTTAAATTGGGGCAAGATCTCCAGAAGATGTGAACTGAAACTGGGAAAAACACAGAGCTAACACTGTTCCTCTCTAGCCTCAGATTAGAGTTTGGAATTTACAGGACAAAGGGAAATTCAGGAAGACTGAAATTGAGAGACCATCTGTTTCTAGAGAATTCTGTCTTGGTAAAAAGAGATGCATGCTTTAACCTAGAATTGCATTAGGTTTTTTTCCCTGCTTTCTTCTGTGTAGTGGTCAGTCTAATTGTCCTTTACTGTATTTCCTTGTTCAAGTCCAGAAAGTCTGCACACAGTTGGGAGTGGATGTTAAAATTTGGGAGGTGGTAGTGTTGAACAGTGATTACTCAACACTACCACCTCCCAAATCAATCAATCAATCAATCAATCAATCAATCAATCAATATCAATCTCTCTCTCTCTCTCTGAGGTTTCCAGAAATGTTAAACCAGCCTTGTAATTAAATGTCTTGTGCCTGGTCTCAAATCTCAGTTGCCAGTTGTAAGCAGGGAACCACTTAACACATGGCTGATCTAGGAGATATGCAGACAATGGCAGATTGCTATTCAATATCCTCAAAGGAAAGAATTTTATAGATTCTTCTACTTCTGGGATCTCAATCTCAAATAGTTAAGAATCCTGCAGGAAGACTAGTTCATTAGCTCAAAGACTGCAACGTTTTCCTACACTGATACACAAAGATGAGGAAAATGAAGAAAAAATCATGATTTGTTATTAAACACAATTTTATCAAATAAATATTTTAATGTATCTATTAGTTAAATAAAAGACTTTGCTGTGAAAGAGAGCTAGTTTTTTTTCATTTCACTTTGGCTAGTTAGGCTGCAATGAAGGAACTAGTATTGACCCTGGACCAGGGCATGTAGTGGATGCTTCTTATGTGAAGAAAAGCTAGGAACAGCAAAGCAGAAGAGACTCTGAGGACCCTGTTGCAATGGAACTGCTGAAACTCCAGGTGGAGACATTTTATGCCCCGTTCCTATCTGAGCTAAGTCATACGCATCACTTGCACTGAGTTTGTAGATGTTGCCATTACCACTATCTGCAGGGCCTCCCCTATGTCAGAGGGGCCCTGAAAGGGTGAGGGAACAAGGCTATTACTGACAGGGCTCAGACAGGGGCTGCTCCCTCCCACACTCCTCCTTGTTGGAAACGCAGATCTGTGCCCAAGCATGGCAGGCTGAGGAGTAGCTGCATTCAGGGTATAAAAAATAAAATGAAACTAAGAGTGCAATAATTAATTAAAAGTAAATGTAGCAATCTAAACCCAGAAGCTCTATGCCAGGGGTGGGGAAGCAGACCCCATTTTGTGCCCTCTCAAGGATACCTGATCACACTGCTGAAACTGAACAGCAAAATCCCACTACAGCACAACCAACACAAGCTATGAAGAGGATAACACTGCCATATATCAGAAACATCTCAGAAACAATCAACAGACTATTACAACCACACGTAGCACACAAACCAACTAAAGCCCTCCAAAACATCTTAAGTAAACCAAAAGACCTGGTAGTCTAAGAAGAAAAAACAGGTATCATCTACAACATACAGTGTAAGGACTACAGCCACTATGTAAGACAAACAGGCAAAAGACCAGCAGAGCGCATTCATGAAGACCAACTAGCAGTCAGAAGACATGATGAAAAGTCCCTAATCCCACAACACATGGACAGACTCAACCAGTTTCAACTGGGAAACTGTGAGCATCCTAAACCAAGCTAAATCCAAAAATGTGAGGGAATTCCTGGAAGCTTGGTATTCAGACAAGGCAGCCATCAATAGACACATAGAGATAAACTGCATTTACACACCATTCAAAAGAGACAATAAAAAAGTTAAGAAGGAAACAAAAAGACCAGAACACATCCTCTCCAGCAGCCTACACCTAGATAAGGGGGGGTTAACACCAGAGAAACAATCAAGCAGAAAACAATACTCTAAGGTAGTTTTTAAAAATGGTCAGTTGTCATTAACACACAAGAAGTATTGTTGGAAAACTGAAAAATCCTACCTTGTATTATTTATTTTTTGTATTTATTATTTTCCTTTTAAATTACTTTTTTGCCTTTTTTCTCTATAAATGTAGTTTCTATTTTTAAGGTTGATCTTTGTAAAGAAAAAGGAATTGATTGCTAATTCGTTCACAGAAACAGAGTATTTTCTATAATGGAATATGCCATATGTACCATGAATTCCCTCTGAAATAGTTAAATGAATAAATAGATTTAAAATTATGTATTTTCATAAGGACAGTACTTGGACTGATACATAGTTTTTAAAAGCACAGAATATGTAAAGAAAGAAGCAAGATGAAGTGTAGGAAATATAAATTACTCAGGCTAAGGAGGGGAATGAGAAAATGTTATCTTTGCGGAAAATCCAAATATAGTCCATGTTGTTATTTTCTCTATACCTCATTCATGGAAAGAAATCTATCTTTATTTTCTCTCCTTATATCGTCCCCTTAAATAATTCCCAGATGGCTTGACAAGTAAAATTTAAACAATAGTAGTCATAAACAAAGAATAAATAAAAGATCAGGATAGAACTAACCTTCATTAAAAAAATAACCCAGGATTAAAGTAACAAAAATAAAAAGGAATTTAAACAGATATCAAGTGGTATGTTATGTATGATTAGTACATATTTCTGCAGATGGCATTCCATAAACAACCAAGCAGGCCACTTCCCTAGTTATTGTTTATTGGAGGAAGGTCTTTGAACATACATAAGTGTATGAAAGTTAAGCTTAAGTATCAAGTCCCAAATCATGCTAGCAACATAAAGATATGCAGTGTGTCATAGATGGTTTCCAGTAGCTAAAAAGTGGGGAAATTCCTAAAGCAGCATATTCACTGCATGTTTCCTGTAGCTAGGAAACATTGTTCTGGTTGAAATCCTTAAAAGTTATTGACATGGCCCAGAACAATTTTTTTTTTAAAGCCTGTGGTAAAATCTCCAAGAACTGTTCTTACCTTAGACCCAATGAGTATATACAGCCACTGGATGGTTTCGTTGTGATTTATTACTCCGTTCATCCCATCTACATACAGCATAATCTGTCCCAGTGCTAAGGAAATAAAGAAGATTGTTAAAAATTGTTAGATTTAACACCTTGCTTTTACAAGCAAGAATCATACAACCATCAGATCTAAAATTAAAAGGGGTCACTAAGTTGATCTAAAAACTTAACCTTGATCAGGCTGAAATGGAAGTTTTTCCCAGTTTAAATCCAGTTTCTCCTGATTTAAATGTATTGGTTTGATCTCTTCTCTCTGAGAAAACGATGTTTCGTCTTCATAAATATTTGAACATGCCAGCCATATTTCCTCTTAATAGTTCTTTTCTTTAGCTAAACATAAGTAAACTTTTCAACCTTTCCTTATATTATTTGATCTACAGGCCATACATTTTAGTTTGCCCATATCTGTAGACTGCAATGCCCAGAATTGGATATAGTGCTCCAGAGAAGATCTGATAAAATCAGGATAGTACAGAAACATTATGTCCCATGAATTAGACATCATTCAGCACAGCAGATGATGCTTGCAGTAGTCCTTTGGTTGGTACACGTTCAATGTTGGTTCACAGCACTTCTAAATCATGTTCAACTTCTGTCTATAAAAAAATTCCCTTTTGCATACCATCCAACTTGAATTTGTACTTCTTCCTACCTAAATGCAGAACCTTACATTCACCTCTGTTGAAATTTATTTTGTTAGTTTCAGAACAGTTATCCATGTCAGTCAGTAACAAAGAGAACTTTAACTACATAAAAGTAGTCACTGGATGGTTCAGAAATTCTGCTGAGTCAAAATGAGAGCCAGTGTAGTATAATGGTTATGGTGTTGGTTTGGTAGTGGGAAGGCCTAGGTTCTACTTGCTGTTTGCCACAGAAGCTGACTGGGTGACTTTGGGCCAGTCACTCTCTCTCAGCCTAACCTATCTCACTGAGTTACTGTTGTAAATAAATGGCAGTTCAAGCAATCTGCTAAGCAAAAGAAAACAAAAAACAAAAACAAAACAAAATATTATGGATTAGTATGATTTTTTAAAATTTATTAAACAAATTTATATACAGGTGGTCCTCATTTAACCACTTGTTCAGCGACTGTTTGAACTTGCGACGGCACTGAACAATTAGTACTTGTGACTGGTCCTTGAAGTTCCAGCCATTGCAGCACCCTGTGGTTACATGACTGTGATCTGTGTACTCAGCAACTGGTCTGGATTTCCAATCGTCACAGCTTCACAGCGATTTGTGATCCTCCCTGCTGGCTTTCCACAAGAAAGTCAGTGGAGAAGCCAGCACAAAGTCAGAAGTTGAGATCATATGAGGTCTTCGCTTAACGACCTGTGTGGTCCTCGCTTAACGATGGTAATTACTCCATGTACTATGTTCAGTTGTTGGAGCTTGTAATCTGTAGCCTTCAAAGCCCTCAAGTAGGACACGGCATTTTTTTTTCTTTTATTATTTTGTGTGTTTCAAAGGATTTCAAGGCTGAAATGGTTGCCTTAAACTCTGTAGTGGCTTAAGCTACTGTACCTACTTCATCTCTTAGCCCCCTCAGACCACTTTTCCCCATTTGTTTGTGGTTTTACATATAGTTTTCTATATCTCTTTTCTGCTATCTAGTGGTTATACAGATTTTTGAGGCCCAAGAGACTGGTAATAAATCCCACTTTCCCACAGCTGAAACACTTGAAACTGTTTTGGGTTTCATTTACACTGAAACTTGTAAAAAGCGTATTATTTGGGGTTTTCTGTTAAAACTTGCTGACTGCAACTGTGTTATTAACCATAGCTGTCATGGCCATCATGGAATTAGAAGAATCTAGGTATCATCAACAACCATATTGTCTTCATATTACCAGGAGAAAAATAATGACAAACAAAAGCATAATCTGTATATTTATAAAAAAAATCTCGTAAGCAACAGGATTCAGGAGAAGCCAATAGGAAAACTCTGGCAAGAAATTTACTGAAAGAATTTGAAATGGAGTCTGAAGATCCCCCTCTGGTTAGAGGATCAATCTTGACTTTCCTGAAGTTAGTCCAAAGCAAGTTTGAGATCACTTCTGCATGTGATATGAAATATATATAATATCTTTATTCTTTGTTCTATTCTCTTACTAGCTGACCAGAAAAGGGGAGAAAAGGGAAGAACATGAGTGAACTGCAGAATGCACACTGAACAATCAATCGGCACCATTTATGAATAATTTTTATTAAAATAAGATTTTACAGAGATTTTAAAAACTACAGAAACATAGGAGAAATAGAAAAAGAGATTATAAAAGGGTAAAAGTGAATAACAAAAAAGCAAGAAAAAGATATCTAAAGAAGTGATTTCTGATCTTTGCAACAGTTACAAACATAGCAATTACCATCTCCACCCTCCCATATTGCATATCATAGTTCCCTTCTTCCCATAAACAAACCTTTTTAATCAATAAATCCTGAAATCAGTTCATTTTTATCCATTTTCAGCAAAAAAGTGTATAAAGGGTTTCATCAACTGCCACCATTTAGAGCTGTAAACTAAATGGTAATAAACTAAAGGAAATGTCTGTCAAAGCTGTATGATCGGTACTAATAAACAAGGCTTTATTTCCTTGAGAAAGGAGCTTACACATCAAAAGAAGAAGTGTGAAAACTTGTGAGAATCAGCAGAGGTACCATGATCAGAACATGGTATTGAAATGCTGAAATTCTATCACAAAGACTTCTTTGGGATCTCCCAACTCCCTTTCATTTACCTGGATTAGTGGAGAAGGATACTCTCTCTCTCTACCTTTCTTCTTTTTTGAAATGTATATTGTGTGCATGTGAGTGGATACGTATGGGTGCTTTAGAATGTACTGTATTTACTTATTTATTAAATTTGTATGCTGCTGAAATCACAATACTCTTGGTGCCTAACAAGGTATAAAAATACAACAAATATAAAAGGTGAGAGAAATAAAACGCAAACAAAATGTGTGACATCAGGCCCCAAAAACCTCTGGAGAAGCTCCATCTTTAGCTTTTAGAAGGTAGACAATATCAGAGACAAATAGATCTCCAATGGGAAGTTATTCCAGAGGGTTGGACCCAACACTGAAAACAGCACTTCCAGGTTTCAGCCCTCCTCCTGAAAATGGGGGACAATAAGCCACTTCTGGCAATGAATGGAGTGGTCAGGCTGACACTAGTGCAGAGATGCAGTCCTGCAGATAGTTAAAATATGCTGAGAAAGCTAATCTAAAATGTCCTGAAAAAAAAAAGATGGAAAATACTCTAAGCATTGCTGCTGTTGTGGTAGAAGCAAGCAAGAAGTAAGAGCTATGCCCTATGATCACATACACTAGATGGCTTGTGTTAAAAAAAAGTTTCAGCTTCAGAATATTTGGGAAGAGTGTTCCCTACCAGTACAGAAAATTTGTATGTATGATACATGACACATTAATCTCATGCAGAAATAAAAAAAGAGACACCCCCTCCCCAAGAACCACAACTCAGAAAAATACAGGCGGAGCCCATGTAGTTGCCTGATATGACTGTTGTTTAAATATTTTTTTACTGGCAGATGAAATTCCTGTGATTTCTAATGACCATTCAGAATGAATTAACACATTGTAATTGGATACTATTCTTTTTAGTAGGTTTTTTTTTTCTCTAGATAAAGCACTGTTCTAAAGCAAAGTGACTGGAAAACAGTATTTATGATTATGATTATATTTGTAGACCCGTCAATCTCTTAATGATGGTTCTCAGCCTTGTATTTTATGGAGACATGAAGACAATGTAAGAGCTATTGTGGCTTTCAGCAATCTATAATCCCCTCTAGGTTGCCAAAGCTGATATATTTCTCATCAGGATATAAAATTTATATAGAGAGTTTTAAAGGTCACCAGATTTGCTCTTTAATCAAGAGAAGGGTTATCTCAGTGGATTTGCAAAGCAAATCATTACAGCCTACATGATAAGTCTCATTTGTCAAGCCCCTTGTTGACTCTGACAGGTGTTTAGATAAGACCAACAGAAAAAGCTTTAATGAGTCAAACAGGAAAGCAGAGTTAGTCTCCCCTCAGTGCTTTTAGTGCAGAATGGCTAACAAAGAAAAATGTAAATGCAGAAATATTAGAGTTGAGAGAGTTTATCAATCTTTGTGTGATGTTTACTTTTAATCTCAGCCATTAAATGTGGTACTTTTGCATGATCCCAAGTATGTTGGGATACAAGAAAACTGGAAGGGCGTTTTCAGAAAAAAGGAGGAGGAGGAGGAGGTGGCGGCAGCGGCAGCAGCAGCTGACATTCACATCTTTGCTCCAATTACTTACATGTATTCTGATACATTGCAAACTTCTGGCTGAAGGGATAATTCATTCTTCCTTACAGAAAGGAAGAGATAGAAGGTTCAAAGGAAAGGGGCACTGGCCTCTAGGAAGGGAGGGGGGGATCTTAGAGGCTGAGGGAGGAAGGAGAAAGGAGAGCAAAACCAGCTCTTGGTTAATGAAGGGATCACTGAAAAAAAGATTCACTAGGGTGTTTTCTTTCATTCATTAGGCATTTAGTTTGTTCTGTAGCAGCATGTTGTATAATCACTTTCCCCAAATTTTGCTCTTGGGTGATATTCATCCTTCTTTGCAAATTAAAACTATATTTATAAACTCTGAGTTGCTCATTGAATATGAGTCCCTTATAGATTTTGCCATCCAGCTTTCCATCATAATCCCGAATCTGAAATTAAAAATGTAAATGACTTTCCTGTTTTACCCAAGGAGGAGGAAGCTTCCATACTAAAACAGGTGATGGGGCCTAACTGCAAAGGTCTGAACTACTGAATCATGAAAGTATCTCTGGCTATTCCTGGTTGACCCTAGCCTGAGGAAAGTTGGTATTAATGCCAGGTAACCAAGAAAAAAAGACTGGAACAGATAAATTTTAATCTGATATAAAAACCGTTAAGACTTCCTTTTTCTACCCTCTCATTCATCTTATTGAACTTTCTTTCCCCTCCTCAATTTCTCATAATTCTCTAGCCATCCACTAAATGGGATCTATTGGGGCTTGAGTGGAGACAGTGGTTCAGCCAAGCAATAAGCAAGAGCAGCAGCAGAGTATAACAGGGCCCCAGCCATAATTCCAAATTGAGGGCTAGCATAACTTCTGATTATTCTTACAAGTTCTTCCTTTAGATTATTCTTCTAAGTTTAGCCCTTGATTTTTCAGAGCCATGACAAACATAAACCAGATGTCATTTTACTGCATATCCAAAGCCTAGAATACTTTCGGGAATCTGATTTCCCAGAACAAACAAGCACAACTGTTTGTTTTATAATTGGTGTCCAGGTGACATCATATGTCTTTGTTTTATAAATAGTGCTGTTGGATAACATATGGAGATTTGTCAGTAAGTTATTCTTTTAAAAATGCCTGAAATAAGAATGTACATGCAATTTGCTGCAGATCTTTTTTGGAAGTAAGGAATGCTTTATGAGAAGTGAGAGGCTAAATTCATCATCAGTTGAGAAAGCTAACTTGGATTATAATATAAAGTATTTAATTACTAAACATATGCCAAATACAATCTTTTTACATAATCCATGAGCTCAGAAATTGCTTGAACTTTTTTTTCACAACAGTTGAAAAAACAATGTACTGTTTGATTTAGAAAGGAGGCTGAGGCTAGAAAGCGCAGGTTCAAGCTCCTATCACCCTGTCAAAGATGATTCACCAATCCTTAAGAGATACAAATGTCTGCAGATTCCAGCTCAAAAACTGTAGCACACTTCTAACAATCTGGTCTCTGGATTTCAGTGATTTCTGATAGCATATCACTAAAAAAAAAACTCCTGGCTTTTGAAGTAGTGTCTTTTGATACTTGAATAACTATTTGTTGGTAAAAAATGCTACTAGAACTTCTGGAAGAAGGGCCATGAGCCTTCTAATATATTCTATAAATTCTCCACTCATGGACATTTGGACTTCAATTTTCTTGGACAGATTTTGAGTACAGGAGACTAATGACTGTCTATCATCACAGAAAAAGAAGTCTGAGTATTAGGTAATTGCTTGCTTGTGGGAACTAGGCATGTGCTGAATGATATGAGGTTGAACCACTACAAGCTTGGCAGTGATTCCTTCCATGGTTGTGTTTAGATTTGCTCCTCGATTTAGCCTTCTCTGTATGTCTTCAAAACATCTGTATACCATTTCTCATATAAAAAAACCCAAAGCAGTTTACAACCTTGTGTTAGTTGTGAAGAGAGGGGGTATGGAAGCATTGAAAAAAGACTTTCCTCCTTTCAGTGTTAAAGCTCTTTGGTTTAATATGCCACCAGCTCATTTACCCAGTTTAAAAATTGGAGCCCAAGGCCTGAACTGTGAGAGCCATTACTTATCCCAGACAGATCTGGAGACATAACTGAAATGTCAACTGCACCATTCTTTGTGTCACTTGAGGTATACTTCTCCATAGTCTTCAGGCCAGGAGCACATGCTGCTCCAATCTTCTCCCTGACTTGAAGTTGGAAAAAGGCCTGTGATCCAGATGCTGTCCCACAAGTCTGAGGTCAGCCATGTGGTGCTGTTGCCATGAAGAACAGCCTGCTCATTGGTGGAAGGAAAAAAAAAACAGCAGGGAATGGTACTGAAAATTAAGGCACTGTCAGAATCCTCGCAAGATTTTATAATAGATTATTAGATGGCTAGTTTAAAAAGAAAAAAAATGGTTTTTTACATGCTGCAGTTCTGCCATTGTAAAAGGGCAGGGGAAGTAGGGATGAGAGTTAAAAAGCAGATGGCTCCTTATCACAAGCTCTGGCATGCTCAAGGTCATACCAGCAAGAGAATCAAAGGACCAAGAACTACGGGTGATGTGGGGGGGGAAAGTAAGAAAAACAGCTTTTGGCACGCTTTTGATTAGTCTTAGCAATGCTTTGGATCTGTACACTTATTCTCAATAAATGAACTTTCTTTTGAATCAATATTGGTTGCAAGGAAAGTTGCTGGATTTGGGATCAACAGGTGGCAGCTCGTTACAGGCACATTTTTTCCAAGAAATCTTTTTTTGAATCAATATTGGTTGCAAGGAAAGTTGCTGGATTTGGGATCAACAGGTGGCAGCTCGTTACAGGCACATTTTTTCCAAGAAATCTTTCCTGCTCATTTTTTGTTTTGGGGAGAAAAATGGCTTGGACTCCTATGGAGCTCCAAACCAATCCAGGCATTCTGCTTGACTAGAATTGGCAGATCCAGTTTAGAAGGCAGGTGGGTTCCTCCTTGTAAAATTTCAGGGTTTTAACAATGACCTGATGGTATGTAATCATCATCATCATCATCATCATCATCATCATCATCATCATCAATTTCTTGACTAAGAAATTAAGAATCAAACTGTCCTATTTACTTCTGTGAGGTATCAAATGTACTTCATTGGTTCCAAATAGAAACACTCACACATATATCCCATTCAAGCATAATACTTGCACTAAGCACAAAGGAGGCTTAGACAGTTGGTCACACATGGTAACTAAGATAAACAATACTTAGAATACTGCCAGAGGGCCAAATTGTTCCTCATTTTCTCTCCTGAGAGGCAGATGATGTTAATAGTGGAGACAAGAACACTTCTTTTCTTCAGATCTTCACATATTTCATATCATGCAGCCCTAAAGGCTCAGCTGGTAAAGGTGTCAAGTGCGGTACAGGAATTTAAGAAGGAAGGCTTTTGCTTGATGGGGAACTAAATGGGGAGGCCTGGTGTGCCAGAAGTTCAACATCCCTAGATTAATACATTAGCAGCCAACAGCCTGGCTGCTCCAGAGAGAAAGATGACATAGCTATCTGTTGGCTTAGCTAAAATCAACTGCTATTTCAGGAGTGGCCAGTGTTTGAGGGGTTGAGAACTATAATTCAGCTTCCCAACTTTCTGATAGATTTATTTTGCCTTTGGAGACTTTAAAAATGGGGATGGGAGCAAAGGGCAAATTGTTCCCATACACACTTAAAACAAATCTCCTAAAGGGCCAATTTTTAAAAAACATGGTATATCCAGTAAAACATCCTTTTTCAAATCATTCTCTTGGCCTATCATTTATAGTTCCACTTCAGTATTTTCTCTGTCCTGTCAGATAAAATTTGTTTCACATCTGTCATTCCTTCATTAACATCTTTTAGACATAGTCTGTCCATAGAAGCAGACAACATTACTGACAATGCTGATATTGTAGTTACTAATTTCTGACTCTGTTCTTCAAAGATTTCCTTTAATGTTTCCGATGTTATAACATTTTGTGTCATTTTATAAGTCCCAGTATTGATTGACATGAAGAGCAGGCTTGTATTTTTTTTCCTTCCATTTCCTTCCTTGGAATCTTTAGTGTCCAGTTTCTAAAATCATAAAATGACTCTTTGCTATGACTTAGAATAGCCAGGATAGCCAAAGTAAGTCTGTTTCCCACAATAAACTATTTAATTAATTCCAAAATCTTAT